CCGGCAGCGCGGTGCGGGCAGCCCCGTCCTTGCCGCGTGCCAGCAGAGGGAACTCACACTCCGCCGCTCCGCCACGCACGCCAAAATCACGGAGATTATCCCCTGTTTTCTGATTCACGTTTCTGAGCAGCCGCGAGCTCAGACGGCTGCGCAGGGCACGGACAGGGCGTGGAGGCAGCGTCAGGTATAAATGGTCAACACAGAAAATCCCCAGCACAGTCCTGGACATAAGTCACGTAATATCTCTTACTATACAGAAACAGGACAAGAAGCCTGAAAAACAGCTTTATCCGGAGCTAAGCCTACAGGAGCAGCACTCAGAACGCAGCACTGGGTACCTAAAATAATTCTTTGCCATCCACAGCTTTGACACTCACACTGAGTTACAGTGGGTAAATGGAAAATGGGAGGAACAGCCGAAAATACCAACAGAATCAGAGCAAATTTGTCTGGCTGCAGTGAGAGATGAAAGGCCGATCCGAACGACACCCGGCTGGCACCTCTGGGGTTGGCATGTCGGCAAGCGATGTCAGGCAAGCGTTCCCAGATGTGTTAGTGGGTTACTGCGCAGGATTATCAGAAATGGTGTTAAACCTGGGGGAAAAAGCTGACCCTGCAGCATGGAAGTGAGTTACTGTATTTGCTCAACCTCCAACAGCACAGCCTGAGCTCAGAGGAGAAAAATGAGAGCGATACGTGGACTAAGTGAATCCAAATTTAAAAGCAGCCAAGGCAAGCTGAGCAGGGTGCTGGCGAATGTCAGGTCTCCGGTGAGACACTGGACTGCCCCTCCGTGCCCTGCCGAGTCCCCCCGAGCTCCGGCACACACGGCCTCTCCATCCCCCCCACCAGCACGGGCCAATTCCCAGGTTATTGGAGGAGAAAGCGAACATGCCCGTCCCTAAACACCATCCCTGCTCATGGCAGGCTCCTCCGGCTGTGGTGCCCGGCTGAACCCTCTGGCTGGTGGAGACCCCTCGCTCTGCTCTCTGCCATCACCTCCTCCCCAAACACTGGACCGGGCTCAGCCCCGCGGGCAGCAAGAACTCTGCGCCTGGTGCAGAGCCCGCTCCTCTCCCTGCACCCGTCCTGCTCTGATAAAGGCCTTGGACTGACATAGGGGAATTTTTGCCAATACTGATAAAGGAATAAAACCCTGTTAACAGCCCCAGGAGCCCAGCTGGGCTGGGAAAAACAGACTTTCCCTGGGAAAAGGCACCCATCAGCAGGCAACGAGTGAGGCTGACATTAAAAAAGGAGAGTGTCTGGCAGCAGCATCCTCTCCCAGGCCTTGTCATCTGCCTGTAAATCCGTTCCTCCCTCTCCTCGGCTGGCACATCCCAGCTCGGTGCCGGATCCCAGCGCTGCCCGAGCCCCCCGGGGCCGGAGCAAGGGACTGCGGGCACCGGAGGCACGCGCTGTCCCCACACACTGGTTCCAGGCATTGGCTGGGGTGTCCTGCGCAAGCAAACCCAGCGCGGACACGATCTCGCCTGCTGCACCGGTTCAGCCTGCAAACCAGTGGTCACCAGCCTTTCCTCAGCCTCCTCCCCAGCCAGGGTGGCCAGGGGACCTGTGTGCATCCTCCTCCTCTCCCCCAAGCCCCCAGGCAGAGAAAGCCAAAGCCATGCTCTTCTCCTTCATCCCCAGCCTGGCACTCGCTGCGCACGCTGCCGAGGCCGGGCTGGGTTTGGCATCCTCCTGCCAACCCACGGCACTGGCACGAGGCTGCGCCGCCCTCCCCAGACCCGCTCCCAGCTCCCGGCGCGAGGAAGCCAGGCTGGAAAACGGTCCTTTAGGGGCTGGGAAGCAACAGAGGAGAAGCGCCTTCCCCCCGGCCCGCGGAGCCCCGAGCACGCCGGCGTGCGGACGCCCTCCCCGTCCTCCTCCGCACGAAGCTGCTGTGCAGCCGGCTGCGCCCTGCCTCAGCACTGCACCCGCCTCTCCTCTCCCAGATTAATGCCGTGACATTTTGAAACCTCTCTCAGCTCATTAGGCAGTTGCGTAACGCACCCGGCTCCAACGCCGTTCAGCGAGCTAACCTAATTAATGGTGCCAGCTGCCAGCGTGTGCCACGCAGGGGAGGGGATGGCGAGGGTGGGCTCGCTTGCGAATGTGGCCACCGGACATCACCCAGCTCAGCTGGCTGTCCCCAGAGCAGCCAGGCAGTGTGACACCCGCCCGCTGGCACCACCAAGGACATCCCACCGCCTGGGCGGTGTGGACGGGCGTCCTTCAACCCAAGAGCACTGTCACAGAAAGGGGCTTCACCCAGCGAACGCTGCCTGCTCCGTCCAGCTGCGTGAGAGAGGGCCGGGGGGGGGGGGGGCCACTCATCCCTTTCCTTCTCTCATTGCCAAAGAGCCGGGCCACTTCTTCTCTCCCAGGGCTACGGGCCCGGGTTCTCCGCTCTAGCCGCTTCCTCTCCACCTGGAAGGCCTCACGATTACTGATCCTAACGGCCTTGGGAACGTCGGCCAGGGTGGTGTACTGCCGGCTGGCTTTAAAAGAAAGGGGACGCCCCGCTTTTTCAGCTCCCCTTCCTACATCTCTGCTGCTGGAGTCCTTGTGCATGGGGCAACTGCTCTTCGAGTCCAAGGAGTTCAGAGAGAAGCTGTGAATCATTCGGTCGCCTGATCGGGTACCTGGGGAAGGAAAGGGCTGGGCATGCTCCTGCGAGGGCGATTTGGGATAACTGTACCTGTTGTTCGGGGTGCTGGGGCTGGGGGGGGGGGGCGGCGCCTGCTGCTCTTCCAGCTTCGAGTCTTGCTTGGTCTTCTCCAAGGAGAAGTACCCGCTCTCGACACGCGTCTTCCGCCCACAGTCTATCCGGTCTCCGTTCATGGAGCTCTCATCTAAGGGATGGAAAAGTCACCATGCTTGGTTTCAAGTCTGAGTTCTGCTTTTAACAGAAACCACCTTGATTCCACCCAGGAGAGGGGCAGGAAACGAGAGCAGAGACAGACTTCTGAGCCCCAGCCCCATATTGTGCCACCTCTTGCACCCTTGGCTTTTCCACCCCTGACCACCCATCACGCCCATGGAGATGGTGGGACGGTCTGCAGGGAGCTGGGCATGCCGGTCCAACCCTTGGGACAGGCTTGCACGGCTGAAAGACCTAAACCTTCAAACCAAGAAATGGACGGCTGCGGTCACCACTCTGCACCCATTTCCATCCCCGCCCTCCCCCGCCCAGCACCAACCACAGCTCTGCAGGCGCAAGGCAACGGCCCCCTCGCTCCCGGCAGCGGGGAGCAGACGGAAAGCGTTCCCCATCCGAGCGGGCAGATAACGGAAAGGGCCGCAGCGCACGGGACCTGTCCGCGGCCCCGGCAGGAAGAGTCCCCAGCCCTTATTGTTCCAGGGAGAACAATGCCGCGGCCCCGGCGCCTTCCAGGGACTCATCGGGGAGACCAAACGTAAACAGGGCCCTGGCGCAGGGGCCAGAGGAGGAAGCAGTGCTCAAGGCTTGGCACAGCATGGCCCCACACGCTGCGGGTGCTGCAGACGCGGAGGGGCTGGCAAAGGCATTTTCCCCCTTGTTTTCCTCTGCAGTACCAGGGCAACATCGCCTGCGAGGCCAGGCAGCCCTGACTCCCTGCCGGGGCAGGATTGGGCCCCATGCCGTGTGGTCTTCCAGCACGTGACGCAAATTTTTTCCTTCCTGAACTCCAGCCCGTAACGCCTCACCTGGGTCCCCACACAACACAACAGGGACGGAGGCTGCCTCCCCCTCCATGCTGGGATGCTCCAGGAACTGAACCCATGGAAAACTGCTCCCTGTACGGCGGTTTTCTGCCCTGACTGGGTCACCACAGCGTCACACCAGTGATGGCATCCCCATCCCTCACCTTCCTTGCTGTCCAGCACGGAATCCTTCAGGGAGCTGGCAGCCCCGGCCTGGCCTTGCACCGGGCTCTGCGCTGGGCTGATGCCGCTGCTCCCGTCCGCTTGGTCTTTGCCCCTCATCTCTTCCTGCCAAAGCGTGGACTTGGTGGCAGGGACCTTCTCCGCACTGGGGATGTTGCTGCTGGTCACGGCCATCTTAGCAGGACCAGGCTCCTAAAGAGAATGAGGGAGACAGCAGGGTTAGAGGGGTTTGCCACAGCTCCGCACCCAGGGTCCCCACGGGGCTGTCCCTGGAGCCGTAGGTCCCACGGGGCCTGGGTGCTGCCCACGACGCATGCCATGATGGGGACAGGGCTGCCCAGCCACGTGCCACCGCCACTTTCCCACGGGGACAAGCTCGCAGGTGGAAACCCTGCCCCAGGGCAGCGTGGTGGGGTGACGGGTGAGGACTTCCTAGGCCAAAGGGACCATCGCTGCTCTCACAGCAAGAGAGGAAATGTCCCTCACTGTCCGGCCCCGAGGAGGGCTCCTGACACCAGCCACACCTCCCCACGCATCCAGCTGGGAAAAGATCACAGAATCATAGAACGGTTTGTGTCCAAAGGGACCTTTCAAGGCCATCTAGTCCCAGCCCTCTCCAGTGAGCAGGGACATCTTCAACCAGATCAGGTTGCCCAGAACCCCATCCAACCTGACCTGGAACGTCTCTAGGGATGGGGCATCTCCCACCTCTCTGGGCAACCTCTTCCAGCGTTTCACCACCCTCGTGGTAAAAAATGTCTTCCTTACATCCAGTCTGAATCTCCCCTCTTTCAGTTTAAAACCATCCCACCTTGTCCGATCGCAACAGGCCCTGCTAAGCAGTTTGTCCCCATCTTTCTCATGAGCTCCCTCTAAGTATTTAAAGGCCATGATAAGGTCTCCCCGGAGCCTTCTCTTCTCCAGGCTGAGCAGCCCCAACTCCTCAGCCTTTCCTCGCAGCAGAGGTGCTCCAGCCCTCGGATCATTGTTGTGGTCTCCTCTGGGCAAGCCAACAAACGAAGGAGACCTTCGCCCAGCGCTGTGGCAGCAGAGGGGCTCACAGGCTTTGTTTTCGGATAGGAACTGCCCCTCCTGGTGCGGTGCACAGGAGGCTGTGGCCACCGACACGTAACTGCTTGGGACAAGCTCATCTCGTGCCCATGCAGCCTGGCCCCAAGTGGAGCAAAGCCTCGGCTCTTCCCTGGCACGCAGGGCCCCACGCGGCTCCACTCCGGCACAGCAGCTCTTCCCAAAAGCTGCCCAGAACATGTGTGGGGCTGTGCACCCCAATTTCTGTGCAACACACTGCAGAGCCTGCAAAGAAACGGGTCTGTCGGGTCCTGACTCACGGGGAACCGGGAAATGCTCCCCTCACCTCTGCCAAAACCCAGCATGGGGTGCCAGTGCATCCTCTGTAATTGATGCAAATAAACACAGCATCCTCCATTTCCCTCTCCATGCCCCTGGTCCTCCTCCACGTCCCCAGTCCACCTCCATGTCCCCAGTCCTTGTCCACAGCCCTGGACCTTCTCCATGTCCCTGGTCCTTCTCCAGGTCCCCAATACTTCTGCACACCCCCTGTCCCTCTGCGGGCTGGCTCGTGGGCAGCCACCGCCTCTCACCAACACAGACCAACACCGGGCTTCTCTCCCAGGTCTCGTTTGCCAGGTCTGAATTTTCTCAGTACTATAACTAACGTCAAAAAAAACCCCCAAACAACGAGGAAATCAAGCTACAGGACATGGGATGGAGGAGAAAATGAATTCCCTGCCACCAGCAGCTGCGTTGTTTGCTGGTCACAGCTGGCTTGCTACGGGCCACTGATAAAAAGAATAAAACCCAACCACCGCTGTACTCCTCCCGCGTGCTTTGGTTACAGGTTGCTTCTTTTAAAAAGGAAACACAACACTGCATTGAGCTTTATGCTATTTTATAACAATACTCATCATCTTAAACGCTTCTCTAGCTACCGCGGGGCTCTGGAGTCCATCAGATGATGATGCCATGGCAGCGGCCGCAGCCCGGGCAGCCCAGGTCCAGCGCACGCCCCAGAGAGGCAGCAGCTTTCACAACTCATTTAGGGTTTGGCTTTGTTCGCTACCAGATGTTTTGCTGTTGTCGTATTAAGCTTCTGCATTAACAGATTATTTTCCTTAAAGCCACCAATAAATCAATGACAATTAACCCTCCTCCAAAGTCTCCAGATAGTGGGAAGTTTCCTGGCTGCTTGTTTCCTTTCCATGGAGCAGGGGAAAGCCAGGAGCACTTGAGCCAGCAGCCGCAGGCTGGGGACACGGGCTGCAAGGGGCATCCCCTCCCTCTGCCC